CCCCGGGCCGTTCAGCAAAAAAATAGGTACCATAGTTTCGTTTCCACACGGAATAGTCTCTCCCACATGCGTTGTCGCAAGTGCTGCTGAAGCACCGAAGCCTACCGAGCTGCAGCAACTAACGTAAGTCACGCTGGCGCTTGTCCCGGGAATGCCTTAATGACACGAAGGTAAACAAGTGCTGTAGAAAAGCTTCTACGAACGATGCGAGTGACCGTGGCGCCTCTTGCTGAGGAACCTCGGCAATAACGACTGTGCCGCAATAGTGCTATTTTCGGCCATACACTCGACGTCATGGATGCAGCTTCTTATAGAGACACTATAAGTGAACATTGAAACAGTTTAGTTAGATGAACTACTCTTTGAGAACTGTGCTGTCACTAATTTCGTCGTCATAACACATTTATTAGAAGAGTAGGTGCAGGTCAAAATTTCGATGTTAGAATTTCCCGCCGAAACTTCAGCGTGACGTCGCGAGTTAGTCTTTTTTTTCGTATTTTGATCACATTGGTTCAATAAAAAATTTTGAAACATTTTCCGTCCCTTAGAACTTCGTCCCTTAGAACACAGTGTTAATCGTTTTAAGTGACAAACGATTACGTAGGCCCCTAGCTGACGCCGTGAAAATCTGTGACGTCACGGTAAGCTGGTGCGGGAACTTCTGGACGGCGTCGCCACCTAAGTTTTCCTTTTGCGTATTTCCTCACCAAGCATTTTTTTTTTTTCGACAAGCGGTGTGCTTTCGGTATTTTGATATTGTAATTCGCTATTATATGAGACAATTGTTCTCTTTAGTGTTGCTTTATGGTCGTGATACTCCAAGATGGCGGCTATGAGGGCGTCGAGGGAGCGTACTCACTCTGCAGATGGTTTACGTGCTTCAAAAATGACAACAATTAAGGCGGCCGGAAGGTTAGTGGCGTAAATAACGAAAGAAGCTTCATACTCATAACATTAACGTGACGTCACGAACTTATCGTTGGAACACGTGGTGCTTCAATATGGTGGTTTCAGTGACGTCATTGAAAATCGTCCATAGCTGTATAATCCCTAGAATAGGGACCGCAATAGCAGCACGTAAGTGTGACCTGTGATCTTCAAATCGGCCGTCCTCCCGCGCTAATCTTCCGCATTTCTTATTCATTGTCAGAAACACTTGAACTTCGCATTCTAATTAGGTATCATTTCAAACAACCTGGACCATTGCGTTTGGTTGTTGTTTTTTTGTGCGTGCCTCCAGGTATCTTGATTGTCATTCTTATACCTAACTTCGACAGCCAAACGAATTTTGTAAAACGTGTTTTTTTTTTCTTTTTTATTTGGTGTAACATTATATTGAATATTGATTTGCCAATAACGCGACACTTGCGTATGCGCATTTATTTTTGCCCATTGCCTCGGAACCGGAATACACGTGTTTCGTCAACTGTTGTAAAGCGTTTCATTACTTGCGAATAATGTACGTTCTCTGCATTTCATTTGTGTTTGCGGCGTCGTGTGTGCAGTTTCTAATAAATATGGAGGCTTACTGCCTTCACCAAGTTGACATCCTTGTCAGCTTTGTGCGCCGCCCTCCGGCACATTATAAAGCTTCGATCATGTAAGATTGTGGGAAATTGAACTTTAAATTGCCATCAAACGACTGCCTCGCCTCGTACGTTTTTCTCTCGCTACCGCTAGCACTGCGGAACGAAGGAGTGAGTGAGTGAGAGAGAAAGAAAGGGACGCGTAGGAAGCGGCTCGTCGTTGTCCTCCCATTTGAAGTGCGTCGTCAGCCAAGGCCGCACCTGTCAAAATCGCTGCCGCGCGGGGCGCCCAGTCGCTGCCGCCGCCACCATGCGGCTTTTTTCGGGACACAACGCAGGGCCACGCCGAGCGGGGTTGGAATACCCAAACCAACGTTCCAAACACGGGGACCGACACCTTTCTCGGAGTGCCCTCTTTCTTGATGGAGGGAAGAGAGAGTGAAGAGCAGGAGAGAAGCGCAACTGCGAGACGCAATTTGCAGACTATCTTTAGCCGCCTAACCGATTAACCCTTTCCGCGAGGAACCCAACAGCTGGGCGAAGGGAAAAAATATAAAAAAAGCTGAGAATTGCCATGGTGCTGCCACTTCGCACTACGTTGTTCGTTTCACTCGCCGGTAGAGCGCGTCTGCTGAGGAAAAAAGTTGTCCGTGGCTTGTGCGCCCCCTGCGCCACCCCGCGACTTGGCGAGAAAGCTTCGTTCGGCACAAACGACCTCCGAGATTGCGCGCCGGCAGGTATAACCCTCTCGAAGGACGTACCGTAGTGCTCACTTCTCCGCACGGCAAGCACCTTAAGCAAGGTCGTGTGTCGTTGGGAGAAGGGGAGACTCGTTATTTGGAAAGCGGCCGCATGGAGCTGGCGGCGTGAGTGCGCCGGAAAAGTTCCAATTGTAATTGATCGCGAAAATAAGACGACGGCGGGAGAATGGGAAGGGGGGGGGGGGGGGCGTTTCTTTTTGATCTACCTGTACCATAGCGTGCCAGATGGGGCGCGGTAGAGCGCTCCGTATAAATTTCGACTGCATCCATCGAAACGCTACGGTTGGTATCGAAGCTGTGTCTTTGGGGACAGCAGCTTAGCATCTTGACTACGTACCACCGCTCCACCCCTCAAAGAAACAAGGTATAACTCCAAGTAGATAACTTTTCGGATTTCCTTGCATCTTAAAGTGTGGCAGCTTAGGCTAGTTGGTATGAAATGACGATAGTTATAGCGCGAGAACAGAACGACGACAAAGAGACAAGGAGGACATGAAGGACACGACCGCTCGTGTCCTTGTCTTTTTGTCGTCGTTCTGTTCTCGCGCGATAACTATCGTCTCCTTGCATGTTTTGATATTGCTTTCTTACAGAACATGGTATTGTGTGGTAAAGCCTAACCCGAGTTGTGGAGATTCGCCTATACTCGTACGTGCGTGTCAATTTCATATTATATCCAACAGACAGAGCATGCGCATGGTAAAGATTTCTATGATATTCTCCTCTTAGAAATTGAAATTTCATTTATGCTAGGAACCAAAAGTTTTCCCTCCTCATTTTCCTTTATATGTGGCTTTTTGGTACGACGTTTCTGTTTGAGGAAGAGCCACCTTTACGATGCGCACAGTGGGAGGCAACTCACGTTTCCAGTGCATGTCTTGTCCTCATTGTTTCCGTTGGCCTGATATTGGACGACTCTTCTGTCTTCTATTCTCTTTTTTGTCCCGAATAGTTTTCTATATGTACGTGTCATCGTACTCTTATTACCCATATATTGTTTGTTTGCCTAGCAACATCGTACTATCAGTTCGCGTGCGGGAGAGCTTTGGGGCTTGAGAAGCTGACTTTAAAGCTAAGCACTGGATTTGCATATTTACATATTTACTCGGGGAAATAACGGTATGCATGTTAGGCATGTCGAACTTATGGAGAAGGGGGGTCTCGCTTCCTTCGAAGTGGCCGGGAGTCGAACCAGCGACCTCGTGGCTAGCAGCGCGGTGCCGTTATTGTTAGGCCAGCGTGGCAGAACTTGGAGCTAACTTTGCTTATATTTAGTGCGTGAAAAATGCACAAATCTCTGGCATGTGATTCGTGACTGTAATTAACGATGTGTTGAAACTCAATTTTTTCATACTATTAACTTGTCGTATGGTGAAGCTCCAAAGTGTGCTGTGGGGCAGCATGTGAAAGAGTGCGGGAAACAAGACGTTGTAGTACTTTTTCACATACGATATGCTTCACCGCAAAACATTGTTTCACTGCATGCCACAACTTTACTGCGGCAAAACTAATTTTAAAACTATTTTTTGTTTAGCTTTGCCGCAGTGCAGAACTGTTTTGCGGTGAAACTCACTTATGGCGTGTCAAAGAAGGCGTGTGAAACTAAGCGTGCTTAAAACGGCATGCCAGTATTTATAAACCATTATAATCTCATACGGAATAATGCTTCATTGTCACTTTCTACTACTACTACTACTACTACTACTGCTACTACTACTACTACTGCATCATCCATTTGGGACCCGAGCCATGACTATCTGGTGACATTACTTGAGCTCGTGCAGAACAACGCAGCACGTTTCATTCTCGGTAATTTCACTCGTGCGGCAAGTGTCACGTCCATGAAAAACTTGCTTCAATTACCCACTCCAACTTCGCGCCGCAAATACTCTCGCCTCTGTCTCTTTCACAAAATTTACTACCATAATTCGCCCCTATTCAGTGAGTTAATTACTCCTCCTTCATATATTTCTTCTCGTATAGATCACCGACACAAAGTAGGAACAATACCATGCAACACCAATGCCTTCTTTCAGTCATTTATTCCTAGGACGTCACAAGATTGGAACCGCCTTCCCGGACTGACCGCCGCAATCGAAGACAACCATCAGTTTCGTGCAGCTCTAGCTAACATTGTATGATTAGGGCCCATGTATGTTTGTACTTATCTGCTTACTACTTTTGTTGCTGCTTTTTAGTCTTTTTTTAGTTTTTTGTATAACCTTGTAACCCACTCCCCTCTGAAACGCCTGTAGGCCTTGAGGGTACAAATAAATAAATAAATACTACTACTACTACTACTACTAAGCCACTGGGTCTCCGAACCACGTATTCCGGTTGCAGCATTAAAGTCGGGGCACTTGTACCCTCATTAAAGCATGCTGTTTAAGTTGGAATTGTAATAATTCGCCAAGTCTTGTACGCTATCGCCTTCGACGACTCTAATGCGAAAGTAGCTTTCTTTTCTCGCTACATAACACATGTACTCATCCAGGATGTCACACTAGGTGGTGTATATGACTTCACAAATTTCGGCGATCTGTGACGTCATAACGATTAGTTTCATCACTCCTGTTTACGTCGCCGACTGTCAGTTGTTGCATTTGAGGGGCATTAATTGTACTCGAATTTTCACCAGAGTACAGAGCATATACATAAAGTTCGCGCTGTAACCAACCGCTCACGTTGTCGTTCTCTCTCGCCTACTGTTCAGGTCGGGACCGGCTGAAACTGCAGCTGTGCTCGGGCGATGAGTCCCTGCCGTACCCGCGAGGGGCGCTGGGAGAGCTGTCTCCGCGCAAGCGCCGTGGTAACCTCCCCAAGGAGTCGGTCAAGATTCTTCGCATGTGGCTGTACGAGCATCGGTACAACGCGTACCCTTCGGACCAGGTGGGTGCCCTTATAGATACCGGTTGTCGAATACATTGTTCGGGGACGTACGGGCGCGCTCCGTATGACTGACAACTCGGGGGAGCTCATGGCCTCACCAGCTCAAAGACTGCTCGTGGCTTCAACTTGTCTTTTTTTTTTAACAACCAAACATTACTGTCTTATTTGAGATCATACCCAAGTGAGAGAAGCGCGTTTAGTAACGGAAATAAGGGCTAGTTAAAGCCACGCGCACTCTTTCAACTCGTGAGGCCACGCACTCCCGTGTTGCAAGTCGTATTGAGTGCGACTCCGCATACGCAGGCAGTCTTAAAACTTCTTCCTGGGCAGGAAGTGCATGGCTCGCGTATGATATGCGGCACGAAACGGGTAAATTATAGGGAAAACGATGCAGACCGAAACAGCGCAATCTACTGGTTTCATTCGCTCTTGAACCAACGTATATAAGCATGTTCAAACGTAACATTCAAAGGGAAGGGGCTTAAAATAGAGAAAATAAACCATCTTTCTTCGTTTTTCCGAACCTCCTTGCGTGCTTTGAAGTTACAGAACACGAGATCACGTGGTAATGCCAAAAGTGACATAGACGGAGAGCATCTAACGGCTGATTTAGTTGAAGAAAATACAAAAACTGTTGGACAATGCATACAGTCAATGCCCTCTCCTTTTTACGTCAAACAGTGCATTCTGCCCTGCCCACACAGCGCCCTCTCCTTTTCTATTTTTGCACACACCACTTTTTGTCATATCGTTTAATTAAACCAGTCTATTGTAGCGCTCCATCTGAGTCGATCCTGTTTGCCGTCCTTGTGAATTATCTTTCCAGCGCTGCCCATATTTTATTCATCTTTATCCCTTCGGTACGCCTGTAGTCCGCAATACTCCCATCCCGGCTTCAGACACCAAAGAACTAACCCGAGAGTTACCGTAGATCTGCTCTTTGGCAATGTCGTGTTTGACGGTGCCGTTCCAATGTTGTGCGCAGGAGAAGCTTCACCTGTCTCGGGAGGCGAACCTGTCGGTGCTGCAGGTGTGCAACTGGTTCATCAACGCCCGCCGGCGCATCCTGCCAGACATGATCCGCAAGGAGGGACACGACCCGCACCAGTACACCATCACCCGAAAGTCATCCTCATCTTCATCATCCTCTTCGTCCGGCAGGTCACCGCCGAGCCAGGTGGGTGGTAGCCTATATGTGGGCGAGTGTCAATTTTTTATGAAAGGGAACATGCGGGCGCGTGGCCTGCTTGTTCCGGCGGCTGCATGCAGTGCGAGAGCAAGCACAACCTCTTTACGCGTCATCTAGTGGCGAGTAAAACTAGACATTGGGGATGTTGCACCAGCGGCAAGACTACAACGCCCTCTCCTTCTGAGGTGATTACGAAATTGCCCTTCGGGGAGTCACGCAATCTCCCTTTGCAATCCAGGACGCAGCTCAACATGGAAGGGTGGGAGGCAGCTCTGTTTACCTCGGATTCGAAGACCCAAGAAGCCCTCGTGAAATGTGCGAGGACAGTGGCCCGCGCCAATGGGATCCCGGACTAAGGATCCCACTCGCCTATCTACTCACGCAGAAAATCATAATCAACGTTTTAGTCTCTCGCTTCCGCTTGAACGTGCCGCCAACAGCCGCCAGAACGCCACGCGTTCGCGTGTTTCTTTTCATAGAATTAACATTGTACATTCACTGCTGTGAGGCACAGACAGGAGCTGCAGACACAATGAAACATGATGACACTCCCTAGCATACGCCTTTATTTAACGCTAGAAACAGATGCTTCGTCTAAGAAACACATCGTGCCAGTGGCGTCAAGCTGCATTTTCTACGTGCTTTCGGACCAATAAGTGAAGCCATCTGAGCGCATATACTTTGTTTTATGCGTACTGGGCACCTTTGGGCATGTGCTCCCGCTGTGCTTTGTCCATCGTGTAAGCTGCCGAAAGTGAGTAGATTATGTTCCAGAGCTTTGATTCCCAGAATGCAGTTAGCTGGGCCCATGGCTTGCCTTTTGCCCCATATTTGATTTGAGCTGTTCAACTTTGACTCAGCTTCGGCTCTTTTGTCTTGACACAGGCATCCCTGCCTCCACCTTCTCTGCCGCCCCTGGTGCACAACGGAGGTGGCAACCACCACCACCAGCAGCCTCAGCACCTGGCGCCCGCGCACCGGCACCACGGCGTGCCTCCGTTCGGGGCGTCGGCCGTGCCTTCGTCGACGCCTCTGAAGGCCGTCAAAGACGAGGACCTCAACAGCGACGACTCCGAGGGCGCCGCCAGCCTCGGCTCGCCGCGCTCACCGCTCAAGCTGACCAAGCGCTGGCAGCGGAGCCACGAGCGAGACCTCAAGGAGGACCCGTCACCCTCGTCATGGGACGAAGACGACGATGACGACGAGGAAGGTGATGACGATGACGACGAAGGTGACGACGAGGAAGGCGACGACGAAGAGGAGGACGACGACGAGGAAGAAGACGGCTCGCCCTGGTTCGGCGAGGACGTCAAGGGTGCCGAGAGGTCTCCGGTGGACGACAGTGACCCCTTCAGCTGCCTCTACCTTCTAGTGGACGTTGCCCTGAGTGAGCTGGAGAAGCGAGCCGCGTCCAGCTGATAGCGGACCACGGCCGCCCCGTCCTATCTCTGTTAGGCGCGGGGTTCCAGCAGCTGATGTCGTGTAACAGCAGCCGTCGCCGAAAGTTTTGGGGGGACCAGGGCCTGGCCACGTCCGCCCTGGAGCGACAATGTCGTCGCACCCCGGTGCTTCGCAGGCGGCTTCCGCAGCACAACGTGAGTGGCAGAAGTCGAGGGAAAAGTTCAATACGAGTCCTGGACCACCGAAGTGTGCCGTGCTGGGAATCCGGGAGCGTTTCGTTTGCCGCCATTCCTGTGACTCCCGGCCTTTCGAGAAAAAGAAGCAAAACCCCCTTAGACGGGTGCGCCCGTGTGTGGTGCGCGCGCGCGTGTGTGTGTGCCTTTGTGTTTCCATGCCCTTCTTGTTATACCTTCCCCGAGTGACAATTCATCCGAACTCTCGGTTCGTGCACTCTTCATTGTTTTCTTTCTTCTTAGTTCAGGGACGGCGTGCCGAACATTATCTGTGCACTCGTCCTTTCGCCCTCACCACAACTTCCTCACCACATCGCTACCACCACCACCACCACTACTATTACCAGCACCGTGCTACGGTCCCGCCACAAGCAGCCCACACAAACGCCGGCATTTCCTCTCTCTCACTCGACAGACATTTAACTTATCCGGACCGAGTCGGATGCGGACCGAGCCGAAACGTTATCGATGATGTGCTCGAACGTGGATTCACTGGCGTTCAGCTTGGCAGCGTTTCCATGCACTATGGACGCTGCGCGAAATGAAAGAACAATCGTTTTGTGCGCGTTCCCCGGTGTATCGGCTTGGCTGGTAGCATCCTGTCCCGACTGTGGCACGTGTGGGACAGATAACGGGCGCTGTCTACGCTCGACCAGTATCGAGAGTAACGTTACCTTCCTGTCATTCTCCGCGAGCATTTGTTACTTGATTGTCATTTATTTTTTCTTATTCTTCTTTCTTTCGGTTTGTGCAAAAAAGTGTGTGCGCTTCCTTTGTCCGAAGTATCGATTTTGTAAGCCCAGAGTAGGTACGAGCGAATTCTCCTCCCCTGGAGTGTCAATGCCAGTATACCTGTTGTTTTCAGTGCTGTTTCTGGACATGGTCAACCACATCGTGCAGTCTGTTACATTGTCAGTTATTATGATTACCTTACATGACTGCCACGGGATCTCTGATTGGCTCAGAATGCCATCATCTTGTGGAATTCGACAATGTGGTGGAATCGGTTTGGCCGTGTTTAGAATGAACGAATCTGGTGATGAGGTGATGATGTTATGGAGGAGAAATCTTGTCTAAACATTAGTGCAAGCGGCGTTTTTGAATTTCTAGCGCGAGATGACGTCACCGATGGCAGATGATGACACCAGGGCAGGTATTTTGTAGCGCTGCCTCTTACCTTGGCACTGTTATATCTTTTCGTCGATTTCGCCCTTGGCCAGTGGTCAAAGCTATGGCACGCCTACGTCATCAGCGTGATCCGTTAGATATGAGAGGCAGGAGATAAGATTAACCTGGATTCGAGCACAACGAGATGACGTCACCGTGATTCCGCTTCAAAATGGCGTTCAGCTTGTCGGGTCAACAGTTTCTCCTCCCAACGTTTGTTGAACCTCTGTAATGCAGGAAAAAAAAACTGCACCAAGAGTGGTGTAAGTCCAGAAAAGCACTCGTTTAATGTCTCGCATGTGCGATTGTAAAAGAGGTGGTGTCAATGCAATGGCGAACCGAGCCACGCCTTTTGCCGCAGATATAGTGCATGGCTGACGGGGTAACGGTGATGCATGAAGCCGGTTGGCTACTTTGATTGCTTGAAATTTGTATGTTATCGAATTGGATTCATTTATATTAGCTTCCGCGGATTAGTTCATAAAGCAGCGCCGATGACGTCAAAGTCTGTTCGCGCCGGTCCAAACGCTCTGGCGAGGCCCGTATGCTCAGATTTGGGCGCACGTTAAAGAACCCCAGGTGGTCGAAATTTCCGGAGTCCTCCACTAGGTGTCTCTCTTAATCTTATGGTGGTTTTGTGACATTAAACCCCACATATAAATCAAAACGCTCTGGCGATCACGGTTCACACTTGCGATGACAGCGCCTCGATTAGGCCGGTTTTCACACTACGCGGTCGCAACTTTCTCCCCCTTCTTTTTTTTTTCTTAGCATGACGTCATTGTTTGCTTCTGGGGGAAATTATTCATTGTTTGTCCGATTCATCATCTGTGTCTGTTGCGACATCAGTATGAACAGAGTCTTGAATGTGCATTGGTCACGTTCTCTGTGACGTCACAGATCCATCTCGTAAAGGTGGCGCTTCGGTCGCTAGGTTTCGACGCTCTGCCTTTCTGGAGTGATGCCTGCGTTAAAAAAAAAAAGAAACTGTTGAGAGAATATCAGCTGTAGAGTGTTGTTCTCGGATTGCTCCCGTTTGTTTATGCGTTGTTTTGTATCTTAAGAAGGCACGCAAGGCACTAGCATTTAACTGTTGCGCTGTCCCCATTAGCAAAGCTGATGTGTTATGTAGGTGTTTCGTATATGAAGTTTGGCGCACATGTCATAATATATATACATACATGCATGCATGAAAAGAATGCGCGGATCAGCGTTCAGCTGTTTCCTCGTTCCTAGTCGCCGCATTGCTGAAGAAGAAAAAAAAAGCTAAAACAAACTGGTCCGTCCGTGAGTGAGTCCGTCCGCACGTTCGTTTTTTCGTCGAGTCTTTATTCTTTCGGCCGCTGCGTCCGTTAAATCTTGAAGAAAAGTTGTTTGTACATTACATAGTTTAAATGAGAGTTTACCCACATATTGTAACCGTGTATATCACCTCGTGCCCAACATCAAAACTAGTCTACTCACGGAGAGTAACGCAACATTCTCTCCGCATATTATCACACATCTTGAGGCATATGTAATGTACAGATATGTAAGCAGTATGCATGTAAACGCCAGATCCATTTAATATATCTATATGTACTGTCGGCACTTCACAGGAGTGTGTATTTGGCGCAGCGAATCACCTGCAGTTTTGTCGCAAGATGGCGGTAGTGCATCAACATAGTGGACAGTCGGTTCGGAAACTTTGCATGTCAAGATTGGGTGGACGTAGTCTCTCGTGACCTTCTTGAACTTGCCGGCTGCAGTTCAAGTGTTCCAGCTCTATGTTCAAGGGGAACAATCCAGCCTGACAAAATTAGTTAGTACAAAAGCGGTTGTTTTTACGCGCTTAAGTTGATTTCGTCTTTGGAAAGAGGTATTGTTCACTTGAAATCACACTTCCTGGGATGCGACCGGTGATCATATTTTTCGATTTGTAACTCCATGTATATGTGTGCATAGAAAACTCTTCGAGCACGCAGTTCCAGTAGATATTGTAGCCCGTGGTCAGAAACCTTCGCACCATCTATGAGCCTTTTCTTCCTAATTCACTGCATTTCTTCAGACACTTTATAAATAGTCTTGGCTATAAAAAGACTGGTATGTGCATACGGCTAGTGTTAGCTAATTTAACGTGGACGAGACAAGCAATCACTTGATAGATAGCGAGATATATCACAACGAGCCGTCGCTTTCGTGCGCATAGTTTTCAGAACGCGCATAATTGATTGTTGTCCCAGTTGTCCTTCACCGCATAACTTAAGCCAGTTTGGCGCTTAAACTTCGTACGAGCGTTGAGAATGCCAGCATCGTTCCAGTATACACGGTTGAAATGTATTGTAATACTGTGTACACTGTATTGACTTACTGACTCTTAATTTGGCTGCTGACGACGCCCCGCTGCAGCGCATTCCGATGCGATGTACGAATTTTAACGTGTGTGGGTGTTCTGGGTGTTAGGACCCGTCTAAACTTGAAGGCGCCTATTCCAACTTGAATGATGATATACATTTGGAACTTGACGGTAGATGTCGGTACTTGATGGAACCTGTTGGAACATTAATGACGGTACATTTAAAATTTCATCGGAACTTGATGGAACCTGTTTGACGGTACCTGTCGGCACTTGATGGTACATATTGGTACTTGATGGAACCTGTTGGAACATTAATGACGGTGTATTTAAAATTTCATCGGAACCAGACGGAACCTGTTTGACGGTACCTGTCGGCACTTGATGGTACACATTGGTACTTTGTAGTTGTTGGAACTTGATGGATTCTGTTTCATGGCGCCTGGGTGGAACTTGATGGTACACGTCGGAACTTGATAACTGTCGGCTTGGTGGAAATTATCCGAACCTATAGGAACCTGTTGGCCAATCGAGGAAATCGATGGTCGAATTGCCGAGTGCGACTCTAGTTGCACCCAGTGGTCCTCTCGAACGATCGAATTTGCAAACGCATGTGCCTCGCCAACACCGTTCAGTTTTGCGGAAACGTGGCAATTGAGTAAAAAAAAAAAAAGATGGCCGCTTCGGTCGTTGCAAAAGCCCTGCTGGGAACATCGCTGTATACGTTGTTGTTGTCAGTAAGACAGTGCAACGGTTCCGATAGCTTTTAAGCGCGCATATTATCCAACGCTGTACGCGCCGATCACGCCAAATGTAGTGTTTTTTTTTTTTTTTTTCGTCGTTGCCGACATTGGCGTGTGACCCTTATTGCGGGGCGGCGCTGCAGCGCGCGAAACACTTGCCGCCAGTGAAGCGACACGTACGTTGACTCCTGCTTGTGGAGTTTGGCCGTTTCGAGAAGAACATCTGCGAAAAGCTTTACCGCGCGGCTGAGTAGTTGTGGCGGAGGCCCCGGATTTAATTGTATGCGGAGGCTGCGCGGATGCGCTTGGGCGCGCGTTGTTGGCGACATAATTACCACTACGCTCCTACAGAAATGTGGGACAGTGAAGGTGGGCGTATTACCGCTCCTTTTTCTATTCGCATCCGGTCGGCGTCGCCCATAACTGAACGGGAAGTGCAGCTCTGAACAGAATGTAATCTATCCAAAACGCATGAAAATATTTTGGGTGTCGGGAGGGGTGGTGTCTAGAGAACACTTACCCCATACCCAAGCCACCACAACAGCGCGTCTCCCCCCCCCCCCCCTTGTCCCCGCCGCAGTGCAACGTGTGTTTGCGCACCCAAGACATCCACAAGGAGGGGCCGGGGAGGGTCAGAAGAAGGCAAGGTTTAACTGTGGCACTCCCCTTCCCCATACTCTTCCCAGTCCCCTCCCACCGAGGCTTTTACGATGAGACCAGACCCCCCCCCACCCACCCACATGCTCAAAGCCTATGGCTATCAGTTAGGATTGCAATGTATCTGCGTTCAAAAAGAAGTAATTTTGGAACCTGTAATTATCGTTGGTACGATTCTTTTTTTTTTTTTACAGAAAACAATAAAAAGAGCTTACAATCCAAAGATTCGTATTATCCGAAGGAACCACCGCGAAAAAAATTTTATTGGAGTCGACGAACGCAGTATGGGAGGATCGCGAGCACGGGGTGATACTGTTCCGCATAACGTTATGTGGACAAGCGTCACCGCGGTCAATTAGCGCACATTTATTAGGCAACGTTGAAATAGTTCGTTAGTCTGCCCTTATATTTGTTGTGAGCTTGTAGCACGTCGTTTGTGGATCGTCGGAATGCTCATTTAGCTGGTACAACGGAATATACAGCCGTGAGCTTCAGCATAGTGTCGTTCTGACAGGCAAGTGAGACCGCATTAACCGCGTGAAAAAATGGATTGTTCCCTACGGGACGTTGGCAGCGGTAAAGAAAACGAAGCGTATCATGCCGCAAATGGAATTATGCAGAATCGTATCGACGAGGTTCCATTGGGAAATTATTGGTTCCTGAACAGCCTGACGGTTTCAGTTGCACGTCAGTAATGTAATGAGTTTCCCCAGAAAATCTCATTCTCCGCCCGGGTCCTTGTATTCGGTTTAGGCTTTTGACGTTAGGTGTATAGCGTGCTCTAACCTGGTCAGCGGTTGTCTGTTGAAAACGAATACGCGTCAAGTTTCTACGAAGGCTTTCAAGACCTCATTAACTGTTCTCGGGGACACTATCGTAATTGTTTTAAAGCGTCGAGATTTATTTTTGCCCTTTGCGAGAAGAACGATCGCATATTGTGAGTTGCTATTTAATTGAGCGCCACGATCACTGCTCCTGTGTCGTGGAACCCTTGTATGCGCTGTACAAGGAAATGACGGTGACATTTCAGGCCTATTGTAATCCCTTGACACGACCATGACCTACTACACTCCTGACCTGTTCAGATAGCGGGGTTCCTATGGGAGCGCGTGTCCCCGCTCTCGTTCAATCGCTCGCCGTAGGTGGCGCTACCTATAACCTGTTCGTCTGCTTCTTTACGGTTGTTTTGTAGGCGCTGGTATAAGAATGCCTGCTTTCTGTGGTGAACTGTCGGCATATATGTGACTATTTCTTCCCATACATTGCTGGTCAAGTAAGCTGTTCAGTGCGCTTAAGAATTTATAGCACACTGGTTGACAAACGTGGAAACCCGTGGATTTACAGACGGGAGGCTGGTACTGACTCCCTGACACGACGGAAAAGTTAAAGTTCTTACGCACGCTTGCGGTCAAGACGTCTTTTCGCTTTGTGCCATGACGCCCACCATTTTAAACTCACTTGATCATGTTAAATGATTGAATATTTTTCCTTCGCTTCATTGTGCGAGGAGCGGAAATGCATAATTTGCATAATTAGGTTTGCACACTTCGTGTGACATCCTCAAGGAGGGGAGAACCTGACACGGAGATATTTTATGCAACACAGTCGTATAATCATAAACCACCTCCAAGCATGCGTCATTACGACATACTTACTATTGTGGTCCCGTGAAACCCGTTCTGGGAGTCTGTTCTCGAAATTCATATGGCAACAACAAGATAAAATCAGAGCAATTTAACCTGCGCAGGATTACGAGTTTCTGTGCGACTTGCTACCCCACTTTGTGACGTCGCGGGTGGTGCTGCATCGCTATGCTCTGCGTGCTTCCGTATCGG